TTTTTTTCTTTTTTTCTTTTTTTTTTCTTTTCATTGTTGTGGGTATGTGTTGTCTATGTAACAAAAATAAAAAATAAAAAAAAATTATATATAAAAAAAGAAACAAGTAGTACACAGGCATTAACAATTTCTGGCTTCCTCCAGTTAGCAGGCAGTTCATGAGGCCTTTCTGCTACATAACAATAGCAACAGCATTTAGATTTATATACCGCCTCACAGTGCTTTACAGCCCTTTCTAAATGGTTTACAGAGTCAGCATAATTGCCCTCAACAATCTGGGTCCTCATTTTATTGACCTTGGAAGGAAGGAAGGCTGAGTCAACCTTGAGCTGGTCAGGATCGCAGAATTAGCCTGCAATACTGCATTATAATCACTGTGCCATATATCATCCTAGCACCAGCTGGTAATGCTGTAAATTATTAGTCTAAAAATTCTAAAGAGATTGTTAGTTCTTCTTTGGTCAGACTGAACAGTAAGCTTTTTAAAAGCAGGAATGAGCAGCAAACTAAGATGTGCTTCTGCTTTCACCTCAATGGGGGATCTTATTAGTTCAGCCTGGCTCACCTTGAGATCTCCTCCCCTCTTTTCATAACATAACAGTTAATCCCAAACAGAGTTACAAAGGTTTTTATATGGATTACATAGAACAATTCACAGAAGTAGCAAATCCAACAATGTACTATTTTTAGTGATGCTATTATTCAAATCCAAGGAGGGCTGAAAGATTACCTTCTTTATTACTGGAAAGATTATGTCTGTCAGTTCCTGGAACCTATTTTCTTGGGTGGCTTTAAGCACATCAGCCATACACCGGAGCGCCACAATCTTGTACCGGAGGTTTTCTTTGCGGCATTCTTTCAACATTGCCTGTACAACATCATCAATACTGGGCTGATTGGGCAAAGGCTTGCGCAGTTCCACACTAAAACCAATAAAGGATGAACAGGACATGACTAATCAATTTGTCTCCTTGATATTACACCAAGCCTCTTAATTTAGCTCAGCTTAAGTATATCTCTTGCAAAATATGCATTTCCCTTTACGTTAGGTACGTAAAGCCTGTCATATGGCTGTATAGACAACTTGCATTTTATTTTATTGTAAAATGCTTTGAATTGTCAAAACATCAGCTAATGGAACACTGAAAAGCATAGAGTTTGCAATTTCATTCTTCCTTTAATGAAGAAAAGCTTCGTGGTGTATCATTTATACCCATGCCAATTCAGCAACTATATATTTTTTCCCAATGCATATCCCAGAACTGCACCTTTACAATAGTTTTCAGGAAAAATTATCTTAAGAGAGAAGTCCAAATAGGCTGTGGCCTATTTGGAATTGGGCCGTGTGAGCGGCGGGCTGGCAGGCACTCACACAACCCGCTGCTTGTGCAAGTTGAGCTGTGTGTGTGCATGTGCTGACTCATTGCCTGCACAGCCCAGTTCCCCTCTCTCCCCCCAGCTGGGCCAAGCCACAAAGATTGGGGATCATTGGCGTAGACAGTATAACTGAGTAGAGTTATAACTAGTTTCACCTGTACGTGGTCTACTTCTGATTGGGATATTGTCATTACTATTCCCCCATAAAAAAGGAAAGGTAGGAAGCAGATATGCAAAATTACAGGAAATTCGTTTCTAAATTGTGCTTGGGAAGGTCTCAGGCATATTTTTGATGAAAAGGCAATTAAGCGTGTCTCTGAGAAAAATCTGGGCAGTGCAAGGCACTTTTAAGTTGGTAGATTTTTTTTGCTCTTCAGCAAGTCAGGGGAAAAGAATTGTAAAAACTAAATTTATTTGTTGATTTAGGGAAAGCATATGTTAAAAGTAAATATGAAATATTCTTTTAAAGTGTGGACCTTAAACTTCATTCCTGAATGCAGTAAGAATAATACAGTATCTGTGTAAAGTAGCAGTGGGGAAAAAACCAGAATACCAAGTAAAAGTTCAGCACGAGCAAGGAGTGCTATCTCCTTGGTTGTTTAATGAATTATGCATATCTATATAAGGAATGCATGTAAATATGGAGGAAGTGTGTTGTGCATATGAATATACATGCATTTCAAATGCACTTGTCCATTTGCTATTTCATCCTTTTTATTTAACATCCATTGTGTGTGTTGGGGGAGATGCTTAAGGGTCAGTTTTGGATTCCTGGGGACTTGACTGAAGAAGTCCTTGCAGTTTTCTTTTGAAGGGGTTTTTGGAAGTGGTTTGCCATTGCTTCCTTCCTAGGGCTGGGAGAGAGGAACTAGCCCAAAGTCACCCAGTTGGCTTTGTGCCTAAGGTAGGATTAGAACTCATGGTCTCCCAGTTTCTAGCCTGATGCCTTAACCATTAGATCAAACTCAATTTCATTGATCCTATCAATTACTAGAAATCTTCTAGTTCATTTCTATTCAAATAATTTTAAAAATACTTCCACAATATTTTTAATAAGTAAGAGACTGTTCCCAGGAATCAATGAGGAAATTCATCTCACCCCAAAGTGTTTATACAGAGAGAAATTTTCAGACTAGGAGATGAAAATATTTTTACCTGCATGAACAGACGACACTGGCAATTGCTTTTAACAGCTCTTCCTAAAATCATTATAAATAACACAAGAAATAAATTTCAGTGTATGATTTCTATATTGTCCCCACAAAAATTTAGAAGTGCAGAATCAAATATGCAAGTTACATCTTTATGAACATTTGATGTGAATTATAATAATATAGTTGGGTGAAAGACCTGAGAGAACAAAAACAATGCACGACAGCAGAGCCAACTCAGCCCGACTTACGTTACTATAATACTAAACAGCTATTCCTTCAATGGTAAACTTGATTTTCCCAATTGGCCTCATAGAATTTCATTTTAACCTCAAACACTAGCTAGCATATTAATGATTCTGCAAACGCAGATCCATTAAACTCACAAATGTATACCCCAGCACATTAGAACTTATTTGACAACATGCCATTTTTATTTATTTATCAAATTTATACACTGCTCATCTCACCTTAATGACCTCTGGACAGTTTATAAAATAAAAGCCGTTCAGCCAATTATAGGCAGTCATGAAAAAGGAAATGAATTGCGGTGTTTTTTAAAATGTCCATTTCTAACCATGAGACAACCCACTGCATCAGTCAGTGCTTTTACCTTTCCAGCCCATGTTCTTCCAGGCAGACCTTGCACCAGAGCTGTGAGCACCATGCCTAAGTGTGGAGGTACCAGAGCACCAGTCTGCTTTGCTATGGATGCCATGGTAGCTGCTCCTTGTGCTTTCATCTTCCAAGACGGAGACTGCAAAGCTTTCTGGGTCACTGCGATCAATTCCTCCATATAGAGCCTAATGCCACCATAGGTACCTATGTATTGAGACACACAGCGTTTGCTAGAATGAATAAGAGAACCACCACCACTGATGGATATTAATATGGGTAGTCGTTATTTAACAGTAGCAATTGGGACTGGGATTTTCATCGCTAAGGGTTGTGGTTAAAAAAGTCTGATGTCATGTGGCTGTGGCACCTAGTGGTGGCAATCCTAGCAGTTCCTATTGCCATCATTAAGCGAGGATTGTGGATCAGTAATGGGACAGCAGGCTGGAGGACAGGGGAGTACCAGGGAATTAGGCACGGGAGAGTGCTGCTTTGCTATATGCAAACAGTATATGCAGGGTGGAGAGAGAGAGTGCTGCTACACCATGTGAGGGCATGAGGGCTGAGGAGGGTGTGCTGCTGCTCTGTGAGTGGGTGCTGCAGCACCATGCAAGGGCAGCTGGGCAGGGGAGGGGCTGCCTGGGATCTCATAATCTGCAGCAGGGCTCCTTGGGAAATCAAGTGGTGGGAGTAACTTGCAACCTAACCTCCCCTGATGGCTTCCCCATTGACTTTGCTTGTGTGAAACCAGCCAGGAAAGTTGCAAATGGTGATGACAGGACACTGCAACCATCATAATTGTGAGCCAGTTGTCAAGTGCCCAGGTTGTGATCATGTGACTCCCCAGATGCTGCAGCGGCCAGAACTTTGGTGACTGGTCCTAAGAAATGCATGTTCAACAGCAACTTTGAGCAATTGCTGAAGAAGTGGTCATTAACCAAGATCTACCGATACAGAGTTTGGGGACAAAGCCTCTAATACAGCGGTTCTCAACCTGTGGGTCGGGACCCCTTTGGGGGTCGAACAACCCTTGCACAGGGGTCACCTAAGGCCATCGGAAAACATATATTTTCGATGGTCTTAGGAATCGAGACATCAATTTGATAGTTGGGGGCCACAACATGAGGAACTGTATTAAAGGGTCGCAGCATTGGGAAGGTTGGGAACCACTGCTCTAATATGTACTGAGAGGTAGCCTGGTACAGCGATTCCTGCTTAAGGAGAAGTTAAGTAAACCAGCAATGGTTTATGGTTGAATGTTAGACTGCAAATCAAACAGTTCAGTATGTAAAATGAATTCACTGTGATTTTGGGCCAGCTGTTTTCTCTCATACCAACATACCCTATCAGTCATTATTACTATGTGAATAAAATTAGAGTTGACCCATATATTTATTTATTTATTTAAATTATTTGTTGCCAATCTCACTGTCACACAATTCTGGGTAGTTTACAATCTGATAAAACTATAATATAAAAGAGTAAAACAATTACATTAAAACTAACAAGAATATATACTACTGTGGGGTTTTAAGAGGAGAAGATAGAATATAAATGAAATTAATTTAATAATTAAATAAATAAACAGGCAAAAAGTCCCAGTTCAAACTGTACTTGGAAAAAGGAAGTCTGAGCATAACTAAAATGATGAAAACAACAACGCACAATGACATCGGTATATCTGTGTGATTTTGGGGGGGAGGGAGAAAATAAATAATAACATGAAGAGGATTTTGCATAATCTCTACCTTCAGAGACCAAGACGACTATTTTATTTTAGAATTTGTATTTTGGGTTTTCGTACTTTCAAAGTGGTCAATAGTAGCGAAAACCATGAATGATAGATCCACTTACCAGGTATATTTTCCTGCCACACCTCACACCACAGGTTGCTTTCCTCCTTCTCCCCTTTGTCTTCTTCAGGAACTTCATGCATGCCCAGAAAAGCCAGAGGTAAAATACACCTGGCTTGATTCTTCAATACATCTGGGCTATAGCGTCCAATAGCATGCATAGTTAAAGCACAGGCCATTTTATACACTGGTTCTAACGTAATAATAATAAAAAAAAACACAGTGAGAAAAACATGACTCCCTGCTTTCATTGCAGCCCAGGGGCTCAGTGTTCTGCTTTCTAACGATGCTCAAACCATTATTCAAAGTTCTGCTTATTTAGAAAACATGGGCTATAGATTTTCAAACCTATAAATCAAAGATGTGTAACTTTTAGTAGGTGGAGAATTACATTGCAATTACGTTAACATGCACAATGTTGTAAAAATAGTTATCTTAAGCGCATACCTTCCTTCTCCATGTACCAACTGTTGAGCTTCTGAAGCAATTTGTCAGTGCTGCTGTCTCGTGAAGTCTTAAAATAAAACCCAGAAAAACTCATGTCACTTCTGAACCCACAAAACCGGAGAGAAAAATCTTAAAACTGAAGAAGCATGACTTACTCTAACTAAGTGTCCCAAGGCAAACGCAAAGCTCTTTTGCACCACGCTATTGCGATCAGTTAGGCCACTAAGTAACGCACTCATGAGTTTACCTATGTAAGAGAGGAAATTACTTTAGCAATCAACTGTAAGTTTCTGTACAGGCAAGTAAAAAGTCAATTCCCAATCCTTCTGATACAATTAATACAATAAAAAGATGTGGTGTAATGTATTATACAACTACTCCGACCAGCTACAATACACCTTGAAGGCTCAAAACAACAAAATATAGTGGCAGATTACCAATACTATAATTTAATTTTCTTCAAATAAGTTTCAATACAGTATTGGTTTGTAACCATTAGTTCAAATAAAGGGATCATTGTTAACTATAGGAATTGATTTCTGGCTTTATGTTGACTTAAATCCATGTAATGGGGAAAGCTTCCTCTGTTTCTTCTCTAATTGGAGGAGCAGTAATCTATCCTTCGTTCACCACTTTGTTGAAAAATTGTTTTATTAAAAAGAATTATCTTATATAAAAGGTTGCATTCAAACAGAAGTTCAAAATCCTTACGGCAGATTAGGAAAATCTTTTGTGTGTTAGTAATGTTTGGGGGGTTTATTCACAAAATGGAAAAAAAGAAAAAGAGTTTATCAGGCAAGGTTTAAAAGGAAGAAAATGTGGTTCTAAAACCTACCAGCATATGGTGTCAAATCTTGGGGGCACTGAGTGGTTAGTGACACAATTACACTAGCACAACCACCCTAAAAAGAGTAAAAATAGGAAAGGACAGAAATTAGTTTATTCTTCTGGGTGAAAAAGAAGCTTATGTTTGCACATTTGCTTAGAAACAAGCCCCACTGAATTCTGTGACGCCTACTTTGAATGAACACAGGCGGTCCTCACTTACCGACATAGCAACCATTTGAAGTTACAAAGGTACTGAAAAAAAAGAGACTTGTGACTAGTCCTCAAAGTTCTGGCCATTGGAGTATCCCCACAGTCATGTGATTGTGATTAGGGATGCTTACCAACTGCTGTGCATTTACAACGGTCATAGCATTCCACAATTACATGATCAACTTCTGCAGCTTTCCTAGGTGGTTTTATTGCGGACGCTGGCAGCCAGTTGGAAGCTGACAGTGTGATCACATGGCATCGTGCTTAATGACCCAATGTGATTCACTTAACAACTATGTCCATGCCTGACAAAGTAATATTGTAAATCATAGTTATTTGATTTTCTCTTCACCATGGCATAGCTGAGCAACAAAGTTGCCAGTCGGTAAATGAGGGCTACCTACGTAGAGAATCAGACCACTAGTCAGAATTCTGACAGTATGAATAACAGGGAAATAGCCACCATATTATTCATTATTGAATTTTATTTGCAGGATCTACAAGTGCAGAATATCTAAAAAATTTAGGTTAGCTGAATTGCCCCAATGTTATCTGCCCCCCCCCCAAGTATCCTTCCCCCAAGCATTAAGACTTCCTCATATTCACAGTCACTGTTCATCTCAGTAGAATGGCAATGGCAGAGTCCCGACAGCACGCCACCAATGGCACTGCCAAGGAAGACATAATTGATGTGATATAATTGCATCACCTTCTAAATAAAACAGGGGTGTCAAACTCAAGGTTGCAGGCTGGATCTGGCCCGCGGGGCCACCCTGGAACAGCAAAGGACCAGCCAGCAGCGTCTCTGCCATCGAAAACGGAGTGTGTGGATCTCTTGAGGTCCTTTTTCGCTGGCAGAGTGTTCAGGCCACCACAGGTGTCCTCGACATGAGTGATGTCAAATTGCCCCCCCCCCCCGAGGTAAAACACAATCCTGATGCGGTCCTCTATGAAATCGAGGTCAACAGCCCTGGCATAACACTATCATTCTTTCCTGACTTTCTCTCCTGAATTTCCCAATAGCCCATTTCTGCATAAGTCTTACAAACTACATTCACTTACATCACAAGATGAAATCATTGTATACTTATAATTACACAAATAAAGAGATATATGTTGGTGGCTATGCAAATTTCAATATGTGCTTAGCATTCCTAACTTTCATGCAAAACCCTTCTTTCCTAAGCATAAGCATACCTTGGTGCCAATGCCTAATCCACTTCTAGTCAGTTCACAGAGCCTAGGAATTAGCTCTCCCAAAACAGACACATCCAAATATTGCAAGCACTGGAGAAACAAAACCAAAAGAAAATCAAAACATCCAAAGAGATTAATATAATAAAATAAATTGCTAGACTGTTGCCCACAAGCTGCTTATTAGCATTCTGCTGGAAGAACTACTGTTGGAGCAGAAGCAATTTAAAATACATCCACTTTTATCCAGTACTTTCTTTACAAAAATGTTTTTCTGTCTATCAATGGCTGCTTCGCCATCAATTTTTAAAGTGTAGCTTATCATAAAAACAGAAATGACAACCACTATTTTTTTCCCTTTGTATGGGTGTGCATATAAGTGTGTACAGGGGGAGGGAGAGGTGTTAAGTGTTCAGGGCTATTTTACCCCTTACTTTATTTGCATCCCTGTTATGTCAGGAAAGCTAGTCTGTTTTAAAAACTCATGAAACAATCTTGTGAATCTTGTCTTCCTGGTTATTGATCAAGATATTATTAGAAGTAGATAACTTCCTGCTATAACACCAGCTTTCCTTTACTAAATAAAATAATTATATGAAATACCAATAGTCTGCTATCACTTATAATCACAGTAATTTCATTATTACTTGCAATCTTTCTTGGACATATATAAAACTTTATATATGTTATATAAAACTTAAAGTCAATTATTACCATATTTATAGTTTCCATCATTGGGGAGGATTTAGCAGCACTTAGTCTTGCAGTATCCATTGCAGCCTTAATGATAAAAAGAAAAAAGGATGAAAACCTAGGGTTTAAAAGGTGACAAGAGAACACAGAAGGCCCATGTGGATGCATAGTAGCAAGCAGGGACGTGCAGTCAGGGGAGGCAGGGGAGGCAAAGCCTCACCACTATCATCATGAAAAGAAAAAAAAATGTAAAAGGAAAAATGCTGAGCTAGTTGCTGCCAGAGTCACAGTGGATGACTCTGGTTAGTGCTTAACTGTTTAAAAAAGCCTCTAAAAAACGCCCTCTACAGGAGGAGGCAGGAGAACCACGTGCCTCATCTAGTCTGACTTTATGATCACTCGAGCAGAGTTAAGCAAGGGTTAAAAGCCGAAACATTCCTGATGTAGATGAGGCACGTCGTTCTCTTGCCTCCTCCTGTAGAGGACATTTTTTAAGAGGCTTTTTAAAACAGTTAAGCACTAAGCAGAGTCATCCATGGCGACTGGCAGCAACTAGCCCAGCCTGACCTCAGCAGCTCTTGCCTTTTTCCTTTTACATTTTTACATTTTCATG